AAAGAAGTATTCTGTTTTTATATAACATTTATAGCCTACCTTTTTTCAAGGATGGGTTACAGAGTTAAAAGACAGAAAAGTAAGCCATTTATGAATAAAACAAAACAGAACATTTTAAAGGAAGCAGGAAAATGGGATTTTATTAGGTACTTACAAATAACCAAATCCTACCAATTAGTGGTAATTTTTTCTAAGTTTTCTAACAGGGAAGGAAAGGGGGGTTTAGGTTTGTTTGTTTTTTCTTTTTATTTTTCCTGATGACATACTTAATTTTAGAGCTATAGGGAACCTGGATATCTTCTAGTCTTACATCCTGGCTAGGTAAAAGCCAGGCTGTGATTAGAAGTCAGATCCCCCAAGTTTTTAAACATATCTTATATTATAGCAAAAGCAAACAATAATATATATGAACCCTGTTGTTTTTTATTTTTTCATCAAACAGAATTCAAATCCAAACTTGCTATAAGAAATTACTAGGGCGGCGCCTGTGGCTTAGTGGTAGGGCACTGGCCCCATGTACCGAGGGTGGTGGGTTCGAACCTGGCCCTGGCTAAAATGCAACAACAACAAAAAAAATAGCCAGGCATTGTGGCAAGCACCTGTAGTCCCAGCTACTCAGCAGGCTGAGGCAAAAGAATCACTTAAGCCTAAGAGCTGGAGGTTGCTGTGAGCTGTGATGCCATGGCACTCTACCGAGGATGACAAAATAAGACTCTGTCTCTAAAAAAAAAAATTACTATATTATTAGCACAGAAGTAACAAATGGGTTGATATCTTCAACTACAGTTTTCTTCTTTAAAGATACATAAATTCTTCAGATAGTTGACTCTTGCATCAACCTTATAATATACATTACCAGTATAATTGTTGATCATATCTTAACAAATCATTTCTATAAAGGAATATATTTTTGTTATTATGTAAACCAGGTATTTCACTGTCTATATAGCAATAACATCTAGAGAACCAGGATAAATGATACTAGATCCAGTGATTCACATAGAATTGTGGAAGGAGAGGGTAGTCTATCAAAATCAAGTCCCCAAAGAACATTCTCCTAAGCATCACAAAAATGGAAAAACAAGTATCACATGTACTTCATACTAAGTTGAAACTAGCAGATTAACAACCACGTTCTCACAGGAGAGAAAAATTCGATTGAATGTAAGAAGTTAAGGGGGAGAAGATTCAGTAAGTTCCCACCGAAAGGGTGTAATGCATGGGTATATGGCACACTTCCTGGGTGAAGGACACAACTACAACTTGTACTTTACCTTACAAATGCAAACAGTGTAACTTGATCCTATGTATCCTCATATTAATCTGCAATTTAAAAAAAGAGAGAGAGAAAGGTACTAGGGAGTGCTGGGTGCTGTGGTAGGAACGGGTTAAATTTTAAATAAAGTGGCCAGAAGAGGTCTCCCCAAGAAAGTAACATTTCACCAGAAACCTGATGGAGGTAAAGGAGCAAGTCATGTTGTTGTCTAGGGAAAGAACATTCTAGGCAGTGGAGTAGCAAGTACAAAAGCCCTAGGCCTGTTGACTAATACATTTACACTCTGAACTCTAGTTTTAATGGAATAGCTCAGAACAAATTTTACTGATAATGTTGAAGCTAAACTCAGAGTATTTTGTAATTTAGAAAGCAACTCAAGGCTCGGTGCCTATAGCCACTTTATTTAACCTTAAAATGCTAAGGAGGGGCTGTTATAATGCTTCAGCTGATTCCAAACCTCTTAAATGAAAATTAGTAACTTTATAAGTTATCTTTGTGGCTTGGCGCCTATGGCTTAAGTGGCTAAGGTGCCAGCCACATACACCTAAGGTGGCAGGTTCGAATCCAGCCCGGGCCGCCAAACAACAATGATGGCTGCAACCAAAAAACACCCAGGTGTTGTGGTGGGCGCCTGTGGTCCCAGCTACTTGGGAGGCGGAGGCACGAGACTCACTTAAGCCCAGGAGTTGGAGGTTACTGTGAGCTGTGGTGCCACTGCACTCTACCCA